TCCATAATTTTTCTATAATGCTAATTTTGTAAATCAATATACAACATGCTAAATATACTTGACAACATACAAACATTCTAGGCTTGCTGACACAATTATTGTGAACCAGGTACTTAATCGCCAGATCTTTTCACCAAGCATATACAAAAGTTATATCTCAGACTCTACAGCAGGTACAGCATCTACAGAAGGTAATAGTATGTGCTTGATTTTAAGAGTATCTACTTGATTTTAAGAGGGATAAAATATCTCCTTTTAAAAAAAATGATATTTAAGGAAAATAGATAATAGTATGTGTCAGCAATTCTCAAGTGTGGTCCCTAAACCAGCAGCAACAGCACCAGCATTACTTGGAGACTTGCTGGAAATGGAAACCCTTAGGCCAGAAACCCCTAGGCCAGAAACCCCAATCTTCGGAACAGGAAATTCTAGCAGTTGGAACAACAAACAGTTTTAATAAGTTCTACAGATGTATGTCATGTCCACAAGTTTGCAAAATACTGATATATATGGCAGCAGAAAGTACAAATCATAGTAGTAATAAATCATGTTAAAAAAGCAAAAATTATAAAAGTGATACACAAATAGCTGAAATTTGAAAACTGTTCTAAAGCAAAACTATCAGCGTAGTAAATCTTTATGTTAAAAAAAAACAAAAACAAAAAAAGCCAATCCCCAGAAAAGAAAGAAAATTTGACTCTGCTATCACAAGACTTGATTATTTTCTTCTAGCCAAACTACAGTGAAACAGCTAACCTTTACTAAATAAGGCTTAAGCAAAAAAAATCAACATTTAAAAATATACTGGTTTCCATCATCTAGTATGCAAATGTATGTAGCATTCATTAAAATGGCAAAACTATTCTAAAATAGTCAAAATGATGATTTTTATTTGATCTTCATTTTAAGGGATCTTTGAAACGGCCTTCTTTCACCTTCTTCTCAGTCTCACTTGTGGAATGGTCCTGTTTCCCAACCTCTAAATGGTAGAGGGCTACCAGACTCAGTCCTTGGCTCTCTTCTCTTCCCCATCAACAGTTACTCCATAGGTGAACTGATCTTATCCAGTCTCACAGCTTGGAATCCTATATGAATGCTGATTGCTCCCAAATTGATGTCAACACCCCTAACCTAACCTCTGAACACCAGACCCAACAAATCTAACTATCCATTCCATATCTCCTCTTATATGTCTCATGGGCACTTTAACCTATATGCCATATATATCATATATATATATGATATATGTGTATATATATATATATGGGATATATATATACATATATCATATGTATATATATATGATATATGTATCAGCATAGTTCGCTGCCTCACATTTTTCAACCCTATTCAAATATAACTTCATCAGAGAGGGCTTCTATGACTATCCCATGTAAAACAGAACATCTCCCTCACTCCCCATCCCATAACCATTTTACATTTTTCATTGCACTTATAATCAACTGCTACTTAAATTACTAACCTGTTTTAGGTAAGCTCTAAAAGAGTAGAGTCCTTTTTCAGTTTTACTCTCTGCATACAGAACACAGTCAACAAATATTTATGAAAGGGAGAGAATACTGTGAAAGAATAGATGTTTGAAAGATAAATGTATAAAGGGGCTTTTTACCAACGAGTAATACACATGATAGAAAGATACTTACTTTTCCTTTTTTTCTTGTTTGTGAGCCTCTCTCGTGATTTGAGCTGCTTTTCTACTATATGGATGGATGACTTTTTTTTCCCGTCCTGCACTTTTTCCCTTTGGTGCTTTAGGCTAAAATGTATGAAAACATATGACACACATAGTCAGATATGTGAGTGCCTTCAGTCACAAAAATCTTTGCAAATAAATTTTCAAAAACAGTAATATAACAAATACAGTTAGCCAAAAACACTACTAGAAAAATTAGGAGACAAGCCAGACTTATTAAGTAATTCTAACAATCTGTTGCCATAGTAATGACAGAAATAATATATTCAGAGGTGCTCCGCAATGACAAAAGAAAGGCAGGCACAGAAGGAGTCAATAAGCTCGGCTCTTACACGTGTTCTATCTTCCAAGAAGATACAGGGAATACAGATAGTGAGAGACTCACAGCCAGAAGTTTGTTACAGTTAAGAAAATTAAGGGGATAGAGGTTATTAGTAGGAGTTTGATTGTAGATGCTTCACATGGAACAAGTAGGCAATGAATCCGGCAAAATCAAAGTTGGGTTTATGGCCTGTACAAATTAGTAATACAGAAAATAATAGAAGCTATCTCAAAATTAGTATATCCAAAAGGGAAACATATTACTTTCCCACTGAAGCCTTATGCCAATTAACCAGATCACAATTCATTCAGTCCTCCAAATTATACATCTCAGTTTTGCTTTTTTTTTTTTTCATTCCTACACAATCCAGTGTCTTACCTCACCTATAATGATTTAGCAATCAGATTTGGCTTTGTGTAATAAGAAACCAAAATATGGCATAACCCAGATTAAGTTTGGTTCTTTCCTGTTAAACTAGGAGCTGAAGGTTCTGCTCTACAAAGCCCCTAGGGATCCAGGATCCTTCCAACTTGTCTACCATCCGCAGGCTGTACCTGCTGTCTAGACCAAGACAGCCTAATACCAGGTCTATACTCAAGCCAGTACAAAGTAGGAAACGAAAAATCTGAAGGCACACGTCCCTTTTTTAAGAGCATGACCTGGGAAGTTGCAGATCCTTTTGCTCACATCCCATTGATCCAAATTTATTTACAGTGTTACATAAGGGAGAGTAGTAAACATAGTACTATTCTGTGAGACAAAGGATCCTTTCATATAGAAAAAAAGAAAGAATACATTAGGGGACAGCTGGCAGTCCCCAACATATCTATTCCAGAAAAAGGCCAAGTGGCTCTACAATCTTCTTCAAAACTATTGTCAATTGCTTAATTCAGTCCTCATAAGCATTCATAATCAGGATGGTCTTTAGGTTCTCCCTGCCAGGCCTTTTTTCAGCAAAGCTACAGAACTTGTCTTCACAAAATGCTAATATAGTAAAGTCCTTCTCCCCTGCTTAAAGCACTCCACCAGTTCACAATTAGGTCCCAAGTCTTTAGCACAGAAAACAATCTAGCCCCAACCTGCTTCTCCACCATTATTTCCCATGCTCCTCCATAAAAGATTCTTCACCCCATTCCTACTGAGCTTCTCACCATTCCAGAACATACCAAGCTGTTTCATAACTTCTTGAGACTGTATTTGTTATTACCTCTGCCTGAAAATTACCTTCCTATACATGCCCTTTGATAAAACTTTCCTTTGTAAAACTTTCTAGGCAGAACTATTTAAAATAACTGCAAATTCCTCATTCACAAATATACTCATTCTTTCAACATTCATTGAGTGCTCTGCTCAATTTTTGATAAACCTGATAAGATATATCCACATCTGAATCTTAGGGTATCACTGGAAGTTGGTTACAGGTATAGGAAAATAAGGAGAACCATCATATAAAAGCGTATATGTACTCTTTTATGTATCTCTCTGCTCACATGGCAGGTGCAGAGGAGAAAGGGAGGTGTAAAGAGGAATTTTTGAGATTAAAGTACCTAGCAAACATGAATCAAGTATAAACTTTCAGAACATTTGGCAGGCTGCCTCTAAGATGGACCCAATAAGCCCCACCTCCTGATACTCATGCCCTTATGAAATCCCCCTTCCTTTGAATGTGGGCTGAACCCACTGACTCACTTTTAATGAACATTTAGCAAAAGCAATGAAATGTCAATTCTGAGATTAGGTTATCAAAGGACTCTGGCTTCCATCTTGCTCCCTCTCACAGAAACCAGCTGTCATGTGGTGAGCTGCCATATGGAAGGGCCACGTGACAAATAACTGAGGGAGGTCTCCAGAAAACAGCTAGTGAAGAACTGAGGTCTGCAGTCAACAAAGAGCTGAATCCTACCAAGAACAAGCTTACCAAAATCCTACCAAGAGCAAGCTTAGAGGTAGATCCTTGACCAAGCACGGTGGCTCATGCCTGTAATTTCAGTGCTTTGGGAGGCCGAGGCAGGTGGATCACCTGAGGACTGGAGTTCATGACCAGCCTGGCCAACATAGCCATGCCACTCTAGCCTGGGAAACAGGGTCAAACTTTGTCTCAAAACAAAAACAACAAAAAGAAGTTGACCCTTCCCAGCTATGCCTTGAAACCACACCCCCAAGTGATATGGTCAATGCAAGCTTGTGAGAAACCTTGAGGGAGAGGAGCCTAGCAAGCCATGCCTGATTCCTGACCCAAAGAAAGGGTGAGATAATAAATACTGGTTTAAGCCGTCAAATTTTAGGATAACCTGTTACACAGGAATAAATAACGAATGCAGGACCAAAAAAATGAAAGCAAAGATGCATCCTGTGAAAACATATCTGATCCCACATATCATTCTTTTTAAATGCTTAAAAATATGAAAAAAAAAAAAAAAAAAAAAAAAAAAAAAAACAATCCTGAAGAAAAAATATAGACTCTCTGAAGCTGCTAGTGAAAGTACACAGTCATGAAGTTCCAGCAATATGTTTGAAACTACAAAAAATTTCCTTTAAAGAGTCAAACCCTTTCAGACCTGCTGCCAAGATGGCCAAATAGGAACAGCTCCAGAGCACAGTGAACTGAGAGCGAGGCAGAAGGTGAGTGATCTCCGCATTTCCAACCGAGGTACCAGGTTCATCTCAATGGGACTGGCTGGACAGTGGGTGTAGCCCAAGGAGGACAAACCCAAGCAGGGTTGGGCACTGCCTCACCTGGGAAGTGCAATGGGCCAGAGGACCCCACACACACACACAACCGAGGCCATCGGGAATTTTTCCAGCCACTCTGACACTTGGTTCAGATACTGCACCTCTCCTACAATCTTTACAGCCTACAGATCAGGAGATTCCCGCCAGGTCGACAAGTTCCGTGGGTTTCCAGCACAAATCTGGGCGGCTGTATGAACGGGTGCCTCCGGTTTCTAGCACAGATGTCAGGGGGCCGTTTCAGCAGGCACTGTGGGTTTCCAGCACAACTCTGGGCAGCTGTTTTAGCTGGTGCCTGGAATGCATGCCAGACACAGCCACCCATTACCCTGAAGGAAAAAAGGGGGCTGAAGGCAGGGAACTAAGTGATCTGGCTTGACAGGTCCCACCCCCACAAAAAGCAGCAAACTGAAACTCACTGGCTAGGGAGTTTCCCAGCCAGCGCAGCAGTTTGAGCTCAACCCTTGACAGCTGAGCTAGGCTGGGGGAAGGGCATCTGCCATTACTGAGGCAGTGCACCATTACCAAGGCAGTCCTAACCTTACCTATGTAAACGAAATCACAAGGAAATTTACACAGCAGCTGGGCGGTGCCCACAGCAGCCCAGCAATGTCTCTGCAGGCAGACTGTGACTAGACTTCCTCCTTGCTGGGCAGGGCATCTCTGAAAAAAGGCAGCAGCCCCTCCGGGACTTATAAATAAAGCTCCACCTTCCCAGGACAGAGCACCTGGACAAAGGGGTGAGTTCCGCTGCAGCAGACTAAAATGTCCCTGACAAGCAGCTCTGAAGGGAGCAATGGGGCTCCCAGCACCGCACTTGAGCTCTGATAGTGGACAGACTGCCTCCTCAAGTGACTCCCTGACCCCCATATATACAAAGAGACACCTCATTCAGGAGAGCTCTGGCTGACATCTGGTGGGACAAAGCTACCAGAGGAAGGAACAGGCAGCAATCCTTACTGTTCTGCAGCCCCCGCAGGTGATTCCCAGGCAAGCATCGTCTGGAGTGGACCTCCAGAGTCCTGCAGCAGAGGGGCCTGACTACTATAAGTAAAACTAAAAAAACAGAAAGAAATAGCTTCAACATCAACAGAAAGGATATCCACTCAGAGACCCCCATCCAAAAGTCACCAACTTCAAAGACCACAGGTAGATAAATCCACGAATATGGGAAGAAAGCAGGGCAAAAAAGATGAAATCTCCAAAAAGCAGAATGCCTCTCCTCCTCTAAGTGATCACAACTGCTAACCAGTAAGGGACAAAACTAGATGGAGAATGAGTTTGAAAAACTGACAGAAGCAGGCTTCAGAAGGTGGGTAATAACAAACTTCTGTGAGCTAAAGGAACATGTTCTAACCCAATGCAAAGAAACTAAGAACCTTGAAAAAAGGTTAGACAAAATGCTAACTAGAATAACCAGCTTAGAGAAGAACATAAATGACTTAATGGAGCTGAAAAACATAGCACAAGAACTTCACAAAGCATATACAAGCTTCAATAGCCGAATCAATCAAACAGAAGAAAAGATATCAGAGACTGAAGATCAACTCAATGAAATAAAATGAGAAGGCAAGATTAGAGAAAAAGGAGTGAAAAGAAATGAACAAAGCCTTCAAGAAATATGGGATTATGTGAAAAGACCTAATCTACATTTGACAGGTGTACCTGAATGTAAGGGAGAGAATGAATCTAAGCTGGAAAACACTCTTCAGGATACTATCCAAGAGAGTTTCCCAACCTAGCAAGGCAGGCCAACATTCAAATACAGGAAATAAAGAGAACACCACAAAGATATTCCTCAAGAAGAGCAACCCCAAGGCACATAATTGTCAGATTCGCCAGGGTTCAAATGAAGGAAAAAATGCTAAGGGCAGGCAGAGAGAAGGGTCGGGCTACCCACAAAGGGAAGCCCATCAGACTAACAGCAGATCTCTCAGCAAAAACCCTAAGGAAGAAGAGAGTGGGGGCCAATATTCAACATCCTTAAAGAAGAGAACTTTCAACCCAGAAT